TAACAGAAAAAAAAAGCTTCGTGCTCCTGCCGTCCCCTGCAGGGTCGCACTCTCATAGGGGTGTGGCAGTGGGACGACGGCCCAAACAGGTTTGGGCTCTCCCAAGTGGCCCCAGCCTGGCCTGGCTGCCTCCACACACACCTCCACATACCCTGCACCCCTTGGCCAGCTCAGCAGGGATTGGGCCGTGGGTGTTGTCGTCATAGCTTCCAATGCCAGGTTCCCATCCCATTTGCTCGGCTTGCGCCGTCTTCGAGAGGTAGCGAAGCAGCAGCTCCCCACACAATCTAGAACCATGCCATGCAGTGCGGAAGCCAGAAGCAGCAAAAATCAAGAATGGCTGGCAATGCACAGGTAGACCTGCAGTTGCTGTGAGGGTATTTCATATGTCCGCCAGCCTTCCTCCCGCCCTCCTCCAACCGGCCTCCCCATCAAACGTCAACATCAATTTCCTCAGCTTGTGACCGCCGAGGGTCGAATAGGATCCGTGCGCGCGTCTGGACCCGATAAGCTCGCGTGTGCCAGTGCCTTTAATATCTGCGAAACTTGCTGGCCCTGCTGTACAAATACCGACCCGTCTCGCCCGTCAACACTCAGGCTAGTTGCGTGCTGGCTACCATTAAGACTGGACTGGAGGTGACGGCACACAAACGACCTTCACAGCAACAGCCGTAATTTAGGTAAGTCGCATTCCCGAAGAACGGGCTGGCGCCTGTTGTTTCAGACCTTTCAACTCCAGATTGTTTTTGTGCTACTGCATCTCGGCACATTCCCCGTTTGCTTGTTATATCTCCTGCCCAACTGGGGTATTTCTTGGACGCATCCCGAGTTCCCTCGACGAAAACAGCATCGCTGACTCTATCCAAGCAAAGACCTTTCCTGATACCCTCCCTCCTTGCATTTCGGCCTGGTGCTGGCCCAACACCCCCACCATGTCCGGGACGGACGAGCAGAAGCTCGTTGAGGACTCGAGCATTTCGGGTCTTGTCGCGACTCTCGTGCCGACCCTGATTATCGCCCTTGTATACATTGCCATCTTCCTGATTCTGCGCAAAAGCCAGCGAAGATGGTACGCTCCCCGAACCTACATCGGGAGTTTGCGTCCGAGGTAAGAAAGGAGCAGCTGGCCTTGCATCTTGTCCATCACCGCTCGCACGAGAATTTCATGGCTGACAGCGTCTAGTGAACGTACGCCCGAGCTACCAAACGGCTTGTTCAACTGGTTCGGATCCTTCTACAAGATCCCCGACACTCACGCCCTCCGTCACCAGTCTTTGGATGCCTATCTGTTCCTCCGGTATATGCGCATCGCCATCGTCATCACGTTTGTCGGCTGCTGCATTACCTGGCCCATCCTCTTCCCTGTCAACATCACTGGCGGCGGTGGCCAGCAAGGCCTCAACAAGCTCACTTATTCCAACGTCAACGTGGCAATCGAGGGCGGCCATCACCGGTACTTTGCCCACGCCTTTGCTGCCTGGCTTTTCTACGGCTTTGTCATCTACGTCATCTTCCGGGAGTGCATCTTCTACATCAACCTGCGCCAGGCATTCCTGCTCAGCCCGCTCTACTCGCGCCGCATCTCCTCTCGTACCGTGCTCTTCACGTCCGTCCCAGAGCCCTACCTGAACGAAGCCTCGCTCCGCCGCGTCTTTGGGCCCTCGGTTCGCAATATCTGGATCACCCACGAGCAAAAGGAGGTCGACAAGATTGTCAAGGAGCGTGACGAGACTGCCTTCCGCCTAGAGAAGGCCGAGGTCAAGCTCATCAAGCTCGTCGACAAGGAGCGCCGCCTCGCGCTGAAGAAGGGTACCGCCGGAGATGCCGAGAAGAATGGCCAGGCCCCTGTCGGCGCCGAGTCTGGAAGCGCCGCCGCCCGTTGGATCTCTCCAAAGAAGCGCCCGACCCACAAGACGGGCGCCCTCGGCCTGATGGGGAAGAAGGTCGACTCCATCGACCACAGCCGTGAGGAGCTCCAGCGCCTGATCCCCGAGGCCGATGCCGCACAGCGCCGCTACCGCGCGGGCGAGTACAAGAAGGTCCCGGGCGTTTTTGTCGAGTTCCGCACCCAGGGCGAGGCCGAGGCTGCCTTCCAAGTCTTGGCGCACCACAATGGCCTGCGCATGGCTCCCCGCCACATTGGAATCACCCCTTCGGACGTCATCTGGTCCTCTCTCAGCATCCCATGGTGGCAGAAAGTTGTCCGTCGCTACATCGTCATCGCCTTTATCGCTGTCCTTATCATCTTCTGGGCCATCCCTGTGGCGATCGTCGGTGTTATCAGCAACATCAACTACCTCATGAATGAGTTCACCTGGCTCCGTTGGCTCAATGCTATCCCCGACGTAAGAAGATTTCCACCCTCGAGCCCATTCCCCCATTATTCTGATGATCCCCAGCTAACCGCCGTCTTTTTTCTCATCTTTAGAAAATCATGGGCGTTATCACTGGCCTGCTGCCGTCCGTGGCTCTAGCAATCCTGATGTCGCTCGTGCCGGTCATCATGCGACGTAAGTCTCGACTCCTAGTCATATTCCCTCTACCCTGTCATGCCTCATGGTGCTGACACCGCAGCAGTGTGCGCCAAGTTCTCGGGCGAACCATCCTACTCCCGGGTCGAGCTTTTTACGCAAAACGCCTACTTCTGCTTCCAGGTCGTTCAGGTCTGGTTCGTGAGCACTGTTGGTGGCGCCGGTCCCGGACTGTACAAGCAGATCCAGGACATCGCCCAGGAGCCGGGCAAGATCACCCAAGTCCTGTCCCAGGCGCTTCCCAAGCCCGGAAACTTTTACAACAACTACTTCCTCGTCCAGGGCCTCACAGTCGCCGCGGGCGTCCTCTCTCAGGTCGTTGGCTTCGCCATCTTCATGATCATGTACAAGTTCCTCTCTGGCACCCCTCGGGCTCTCTACACCAAGTGGGCCAACCTGAGCGCCATCTCGTGGGGTAGCGTCATGCCCGTCTACACCATGATCGTCTGCATCGCCATCATCTACGCCGTCATCTCGCCGCTCGTCCTCGCCTTTGCCTGCATCGCCATGTGCCTCTTCTACGTGGCCTGGCGCTACAACATCCTGTTTGTGACCGACACCAAGATCGACACGCGCGGCCTCATCTACCCCCGCGCCATCAAGCAGCTCTTCACGGGCATCTACATCGCCGAGCTCTGCCTTCTCGGCCTGATCGGTGCCAGCGGCGCCCCGTGGCCTGCCATTATTGTGGCCCTTTTGTTCCTCTTCACTATCATGGCCCACGCCACCATGAACATGGCCATCAAGCCCCTGCTGTACAACCTGCCGCAGTCGCTCCTGGCCGAGGAGGAGGCCCTGCTCGCGCCACCGGGGTCGCACCACAACAGCAACGTACCTGCCGGCAGCCCCCTGTCGGGCGGCCTCGGGGTGGCCCCGTCAGGCACGACCAATGGCAGCAACGCCCTGCCGACCGCGCCCGACGCCACCGCCAAGGGCGACGTGGAGAACGGCGCCATGGGGCCTGGCGACGGCATCATTCAGAAGCGGGGCAACTTCCTGACGCGCTTCCTGATGCCCTGGAAGTACGCCGACTACGCGACGATGCGCAGGCTGGTGCCGCGCGCCGAGGACCTGGACCTGGACCTGGACAACCTTTACTCGGACGAGGTCAACGGCAACGCCTACTGCCCGCCCTCGACCACGAGCGCGCCGCCCCTGCTCTGGATCCCGCGCGACGCGGCCGGCGTGTCGAGGCAGGAGGTCGCCCACACGTCCAAGATCATCCACATCACGGACGAGGGCTGCGAGATCAACGAGAACGGGAAGCTGAACTGGGATAGGGAGGCGGCTCGCCCGCCCGTCTGGGAGGAGAAGGTGCTTTACTGAGCTGTTGGATTCTTTCCCCGGGGGGGATCAAGCAACATTAAATTAATGGGGATATCTTTGCTGAACCCGGAAAGGGTAGACGCAAAAAGCACCAAGAAGAAGCGGACGGTGGTGTTGCGGAGGTGGCGAACGAAGTTGTTTCATTTTGTTCATGTTTTAAACCTTCTCGACCTTGACCGTTTTATGATACCCTCGTTGAAAAAGGTCTGGTACGATGTCATAATGCGGTCGGCTTGCATTACTTGTACTTGATCTAATAGCCAGAGCCTGCGACAGGCACCCTAATTCTCTCGTCTCCCAAACTCATGATAGCATTCACAGTCGGGATCCTAATCTTGGAGCCTACGATCATTTTCAACACCGTACGTACCTCTTTGTGAAGTTTTGCAAATGTGCAAATGTTCATGTTCAGACGTTTCAAACATGCAGTGCGCGTAGTAAAAGTGAAAAAGAAAAAAGGAGTGTCGTGAAGGGGTAAATAAATGTGTGGTGATAAATCGCGGCAAAAAGAACAGGCCTCATGGGACTCGAACCCACAGCCTTCCGCTCGCTCATAATAGGAGGCGGACGCGCTACCTTTGCGCCAAAGGCCTTGTTTTTCTTGTGATTGAAGAATTACTATCCAGTTGTTTGGGGGACATTATATGGGGTGGATCCTACCAGGGTGGGTAGGCATTCTTGCACGTGATACCGCCTTTATGACATTAGGTTCCTACCTTGCCTCATCACAAATACAAGATGGAGATGAATTCACGGTAGCTTGGTTGGAGGATGATGCGTAATCTTATATATATATATAATCCGGACGATATTTACAGAGGTAACCTACGTGCTGATAACCCTCGCCAGGGCCAAATGCTAGTCGAGCTTAGCTTTAGTATACCCCGGACTACTCCTCCCCCTCTCCCGGGATGTGCTCAAAGCCCAGACACACGGCGGTGGCGTAGTCGCCGTCGTGGCTGATGCTGAGGCGGGCCTGTTGGGGCTCGCGGCCGTCGGGCGTCACCACGGCGGCCGGGGCGCCGTCGGGCCCGGCGCGGATGCGGATCTGGTCGAACGACAGCTTGGGCAGGTGCGGGTGGGCCTTGATGATGGCCTCTTTTGCGGCGAATCTGGGAGGCATGAATTGAGTTTAGAGGACTGAGGGTACAGTGTATATATGTAAATGGAAAAAAAGAGGACTAGAATGACATGAACTCGTGTCTTAAAAACTGAGAAGACAAAAAAAAAAAAAAAAAAAAAAGACACACCTTCCAGCCATATGAACAGCCGCCTGATCCAACAGCTGCAGCCGCTCAGGGGAGCTCGCAGCCGGCGACGGCCGACGCGCTAGCCTAAGCAGCGACGCGACGGCGACGGCGAGGCATGACACCCCTTCGCCCTCCCCCTTTCTCTTCTCCTCCTCCGCCAGCCGGCCGAGGATGGGGTCGATCCTGGCCCGCTCCTCCTCCCCCCGGCCGAGCACGCGCCTCACAAACGGCTCGCGCTTCTCGGCGGTCTCGAGGATCCTGCGCACTCTCGCGATGCGGCAGACGTCGGTCCCCACGAAGATGGAGTGGGGGAACTTGACGACGGGCCGGGGCGGCATCTGGGATGGGGGGTCATTCTCGATGATGGTGTCGAGGCAGTGGTTGGTTGGTGTCCACGATAGAGTGAGAATGTTCCATCATCACTTGATTCGTGTGATTTTCGCAGTGAGAACATGCATGGAAAAGGTCTGGGTTTGTTGCCCCACCATCGCGGACCGATGTGGGGCTGCTGCCGCCGGGCTGGTGCTGGCCATCAGGGTACAAGCGAGGGCACTGGCTCTGACGACAGCTGAGGTGAGAGTGACGTCATGCAAGAAGAAGGGCAGTCAGCACAACATGCTTTCATCATGGCATCATTCCCGGACTTCAACAGATGGAAACGACTGATAAATCAAAAGCAGCGCATAAGTACCATTTCCATGCTAATAAACCTGTAGAGAGAGACCAACCAGAGACAAACTGCAATATTAAGCGACTTCTCCGTATGCGCACCAATCGTCGCCACCAGGCGCTAAACGTGCCTCACCCATATCATCGCCACAATCCATGTAAGGTGTGATGGGTGAAAATAAACAGGCCGTGTACAAAGGGTCCGCATCGCATAGAAATCATTAGACTTTTCGGTGTAGAGGTGTGATCCTCTGGGGATATGAGAACATGTTTCGAGTCGCAATAGGCAATTTGAGATATGTGAAAAAGGGGGTTGACAGAGCTTTTGAGAGGAGCGTCGACAGCCATTAGCTGGTGGTAGACCGTGTCGGTTGTAAGTGACAGGATATCGGGGGGATGGAGAGAGCACATGACATGACCCTCCTCTCATCCGATTGCTTCACCCTGTTCTTTCCCCTAGTTGCCCTGCAGGAGCGGCGCGCGCTCGGCATCCTGGGGCGGGGCCTGCTCGGAGCGGCGCGTGGTCCAGCTATTGTGCTGCCCAGACCAGGTCGGGACGGCGATGGAGAGCGAGGCGACAAAGAGGACGGCCATGATGGTGAAGGAGAAGATCCACTGCAGGGCAATGACCTGGCGGAAGAACTGGGCGACGCCCAGGGCGGCGGCCAGGACACTCAGGTTGAAGCCCATGGTGTAGTCCTTGTAGGCGACCAGGAAGAAGCCTCCGTAGACGAGGATGGACCACACAAAGATGTTGGCAAAGATCCTCGCCACCAGGTTCTCCGGGTGGTACGCCATGATGGCGCCGTTCCAGTAGATGGCCACAAAGGTCCAGGCGAGGGGCCCCGAAACGACGGGCACGTGGATGGAGCGCGGGTAGGCATTGTGACGGAAGTACAGGGACGTCAGGTTGATGAAGTTGAACACCAGGATGACCTCGGCAATGACAAAGTGGCCGTAGACGAACAGCAGGACAAAGGCGAAGTGCAGGATATTGTTGAGGATGAAGTGGCTGCCGACGGCGCAGGCGGCGTTCTTTCGGTCGAGGTTGTTGGAAAAGAGAGCGGCGACGTATCCTAGTTGGAGGATGAAGAGGGCGAGCCTGTTCCCAATCCAAATATTAGTGTCGGAAAGCTCGGTAGGAAGTCATGTCATGGACAGGTAGGGGGTAGCCGGGACGTACCAGTACAGGGACGTGATCAGGTGGTCCATGCGGAAGCCCGTCAGGTAGGCGTCATTGATGTCCCAGATCCTGCGCCTGATGTGGTAGCCATCGTAGACATCATTGAAGGTATAGTAGAGCGTAACGAGCAGCGAGGCCAGCCAGGTCGCGATGCTCAGTATCTTGTAGGTGGCAACGGCCTGCGAGGTGTGCGAGTCCCTCTTGGTGAAGGGGTTGACTGTATCCGGGGAGGTGGGCATTAGCAGGCTGCCTAGGAGGCCAACGGTATAGGAACCAGATATGTCCGATACTCACTGTTGTTCAGTCGATCCATTGCGGGGAGGATGGCGTCAAGGCCAGTTAGCGCTCTATTGTTGTTCTTCTCTCGTCCTTGCACGAAGCGCTGGTGAGGGATGACTGTAACTGGAGGGAGGGCAGAGCAGAGCAAAGGAACCAACAAGATGCAAAGGAATTGGGGTGAGAAATCAAGCGTTGAGCCGGGAGGGCGGCGTTGGGGCTAATAAACAGATGCGGCAAGGGGGAAGGAGTGTGGCGACAAGGCCAGGCGGGTTTGGTTGCGGGGAAGGCACGGCTCGGGTCCTGCTCGTCCGGTTGGCTCGTCTGGTTGTGCGCGGCCGACTACTGGTCATCTTGGTACGTCAAAGACTGGGGGTGGAAAACAGGTCACCAGACGATGTCGGGATGGGCTTGGGGGAGGGACGCGTGGTGGTACATGGGCGTGGATGGCGGATCGAAGTAGTCTGCCGTGGGATCCCACAGGTGTATTGTACGGGCGCATCACCCGTCCGATACCTCTGCCTCTTTGTGTATTTCAAGTACCAGTATGGGATCCGTCTCCAGTCCTTGCCTGCCCCAACTTGCACTTTGCCTGCATTGGAGACCTCCCACGGGCTTCGCTAAGGTCCCGACCAGAAATAGCAGATATCGGACCAAGCTGCCAAGACCACCCGCCAGATGAAGAGGCATTATTTCTCTTCTGCGTCCACCTTGCCATTTGCCTCGGAAAGTGCTTCGCTCCTGCAGGTGCATTGCGCCCGGCCAATGGTAGCGGGGGGTCGGGTTACAGGTTTGGCAGCCACGGATCGCCAGTCCGTCATGGGCTCAGGTGTTGTGCTGTAGCGTGTGTGGGCATTCCTTCGGTGCAGGGGGAGCTTCTTTGTATGACGACGATGTGAGGACAGGGGTGGTGTGCTTTTTGGGGTTTACCCTGCGGCTTGCCTTGCCACCAGACAACCCGGGCATTATGCTCCGCCGGGGCTGCTCATTGTTCTGAGCTGAGGGAGCACGAATTATGCTTTTTTTTTTTTTTTGGCAATGGTCAAGCGCTCCATGCCTTGAAGATTTCCAGATCGGGGTATTCAGATCAGAATATTCAGTGCTGTTTTTCAGTTAGAAAGCAAACAGAAGGTGCTGGGGTTGTGGCTCCGATGCCTTGCATGCACTGTGGCCCATCAGCTCAGAGGCTAGGTTGTGATTGGTCTAGAGTTGGAGGTGATGACAGCATTGACTCGTCTGCCGTGGGTTTCCGTCTGTCAATCCCTCACCCCCGTACTTTCCCCCATTTTGGACATTTTCCTCTTGCAAGCCACCTCCAGCAGCACACCACAGCAGCACCAGGCTCGTCCAGTCACATCAGCCGCCACTGCCATTCACTGCGAACGGCGTAATCATCTGCCCGCTCGTGTCCGCCCCAAGTCCAGGCCATTTACGCCAAGTAACGAGAGCACGAAAGAAAACACAGTTTCTGGCCAGTCGTTTGGTCACACCGAGGGAGGTCACACACATGTAGTCGGCTAGGTGCCTCTTGATAACGATCGGCCAGGTGCTTCTCCATAACAAACACTGCCGCCTGCCGCCTGCCGCCTGCCGCCTGCCGCCTGCTGCCAGCGGGCGGGCCGCGTCGGTCTTTTGCTGCGTGTCCAAGCTGGAGGGCAGAGTTTCCGCCCGCGTTTGGCGCTGCGCTGCACGAACAGCATCAGCGCCCTCTGCAGCGCCCGGAAGGTTTGCCCCGTGGGCGCTCTAGGCCCAAAGATCAAAGACCACCAAAAACAAAGCGCCTGCATCGGCACATGTGAATGTTTGCATATGCAATCTTGTGTTTTTCCCGGGTCGCTAACGTAGTATTAAATAAATCCTGCTATGTGGCTCTGCCAGTATTGCATCCGTGGCAGCTCCAATATAAACACAAACTCAAACCTTGGGCTGCAGCTGAGGCCCGACCTGGGCTGGTTGTGTTGTTGATGTGTCTATTCTATCCTCTTCTCCTCTTTTCCCTGTCCGAAGCGACGCTTGATCAATGATGCAAAAGCAGTGGCTCGCACCCACAAGAGACGATGCAATCGAGATGAGTTGCGCCGAGATGAGTTGAGACATGCAGCGCTAGATTTCGGGAGGAGCCCCATCTTAGACAGTCCTACCAGCTCATGCTGCGACCCCTCCAAAAGGCCCCTCGCCAGGGCTCCTTTTCTGGTCGGCTGGGCATGGCGTGACTTTCCAGGCGGACAAGCCTCAAGGCTGAAGAGAAGGGTGTGGTGTGGCCAACCTAGGCAGCACACACGATGGATGGGGAGGAGACGGCCGGCCGCTTCCTGGTGTGGTTGGCACGGTTGGGCAGCGAATCTGACGAGGATGAGGGTGGTGGTGGTGTGGTGCCAGCCAGATCAGGAGAGATTGGCACGCACACCACCTCCCATTCCCTCCCCTCCTCAATCGACCCCGCCTGGGTGCGCCGCAGTTCAGGGCTCGGCTACGCAAAATGTCCGGCGGTTGCCTTTTTATTTTTCTGCCTTTTTCCCGCCAGGTGTGTTCACCGCGCCGGCGGGGCCAGCAGCGGCATGGCCTTGTAGGCGGCGTTGGGAGTGGCGGCGGGGGACCGCACCCAGTCCTCCCGCTCGGTGTGCCAGCTCTTAGGGCCGAGGAGCTCTGCGGCGAGTATCTTGGGCGCGTGGAATTGCCGGTGCCTGGGTCTTGCGGTTGCCGACTTGGTCGTGGTCACGGCGGGCGTCGCGTTCCTGGACGATGGTGGCGACGGCGCCCTCGTCAAGGTGCTGTTCGTAACACCTCTGGGCTTGGCTCTCTCGGTCTGGTGTCGCTGATGCTGCTGCTGCTGCTGCTGTTGCTGCTGTGTCTGCGGGTGCCCGCTTGTCGGCCGGGTTGCTTCGCTGCTGTCTCGTCGCTCCGACACGGGCATGGCGGGCGTCTTGGGCAGACGCATGGCTTTGGCGTTTTCCAGGGCGGGGTCACACCAGCCTCCGATCCCTTTGAGGTAGGTCGGGAGAAGGGCTTGGTTGTGCATCATGGCCGCTTCTGTGTGCTCTGGCCTATGTGTGTGGGTATGTGGGTGTGTGCTTGGTTGGGGATTCGGACATGAAAGGGGACGAGGTTCGGGAGGGGTTTGTACGTCTAGTCTGGACTCTCTTATACGTGCGCTGGTGACTGTTGAAGCCGGTTAGAAGTAGATGTCGCCGATCCAAGATGACCGACTGATGGGCCAGCTGTGGAAAATATGCCTTTTTAATGACCCAAAGACGAGCCAGAGATGCCGGCCACACGCTCGGCTACTTGCCGGCACTGCTTCCCAGGTGTGCTCTCCGTTCAAGCCCAATGGGTACACAAAAGCCCACAGCCCACAGACCACCCCCGGCGAACCTCGTTCTTTATCCCCCGTGTTTTTAACAGCAAAGCACTGCAGATGGGAAAAGGCGCCCAAGCCCACCGCGTCGCGGCCCGAATGCAAACTTCCGATTCGACGTCTGGGCAAGAGGGAGGAGGGGTGGAGGGGTCAGATGGATGGTGTTGTGCCAAGCTGCGTCTTTTTTTCCTGCCTGCGTGACCTCTGTGCCAGGGAATAACAGAGTCGGGCCAGTTGGCAACGCACGCAGGGCAAGGCACACTTTCGCCGTTGTGATTCTTGGGTGATTGAGGGTGTGTGAGAGGGAGTGAAGGAGGGAGGGTGTGCTTTCAATGGCCCTTGCAGATTACGTCAAGAGTGAGTGCATCAACGGTTGCCTTTGTGCCGCGCCTCTTTATCGATCGATTGACGCCTTTTTCTTGCTGGATGCTAGAAATCTACACATTCTTGTTCGCAATGGGAAATTGTTGGGCATTGCGAACCACGCCGCCAACACTTTTATCAGCGCCCGTTCCAGGGATCTGGGAGCCCCTGCAGGACCAGACGGGACAATGGAGGGGTTCGACTGCGGCAGCAAGTCCCCGAAAACGCTGGGGTTGAATTGAGATTTCTATTGGTGCACACCACCCGCCCAGCCTGTCCAGCCTGTCCAGCCTGCCCATCGACGGCCCTTATAAACCTGGGGCGAATCCCTTGGCGTCCTCTCACGCACAAGACGCGATGCCACCCTCCCCGGGAAGCCGAAAGTACGACCCGAGCGCCCCAATGGCAGACGCGTTGGTGTTGGCAGGATCCCCCGCCGCGAGCAGGCTCGCGAGGTCGTGGGCCGGGTAGATCAGGGTCTCGTTGATGTAGCGCTTGAGCGGCTTGGCCGCGTGCCCGGCGCTCGTCACGACCGTGTCCCAGCCGACGCCGGCCAGTGACCCGGCCGCGCCCAGGTCCAGACATGTCACGTAGACGGGCTGGCTATATGGCCGCAGCGGCAGGCCCAGCAGGTCGGCCGCCGCGTTGTGGCCCGCGTGCCGCCCGAGCGGCATGGCGTGCTGGCACGACATGCGCGCGTGGTGCCCGCC